TATTGAACACACAGCAAATTAATTCTAGGCTATTTTGGTAACTAAAGCCATTCAGCAATTGGCTTAATTGGCGAATTGGGGAGGTGGCTTACCTAATTTGTGTGCAACAGCGAAGGTATTAGGAATGTAATTGACACACAAGAATTAGAGGCACATAAAAGCTGGTGGTGTAGGCAACTATTGTGAGAAGTGAACAAAATACAAATATTGTGCAAGTTCTATAATATTTATAAGTGTCGTTCTAAATCTATGTCAGGCGATTTTTTCAGGCGCGAAATGGGTGAATAATTGAATTATGCCACAAAAATATACACAAGAAGAACTTTGAACAACTTAAGTGTTTGTGTTGTCATTATATTGTCATAAAAATTATATCTATGTACAACTAAAGTCTTTACTCGTACATTTTTGTGCCAAATATAATATATAAATAGCTTTAATAAAAATAGAGTTGCTTGTATCTTATACTGCCAAACAGAGAACCGCGTTTAATACTGTCTATTGCTAAACTGTGTGTCATACTTTACGCATTCACCAGCCACATTTTTACTATGCTTGCTTACTGCTGTGCTATTTTCTTGACTTTTGCCCATCTTAAGTGTCATAATTTCTCATTTTATTATTCTTTCTTACAGAATTAACTCCTGAACAGCAGAAGCTGTTAATTGAGCTACGTCGAAAAAAGCAGGAACTTTTGCTGGAAATTCAGGTAAGTGTTTTTGTTGATATTAGCATAAAACTTGAATTTTTTTTATAAATTTCCATAGTTCATTAGCTCCAATTGGCTCAGGCAAATAACGTGTCTTATCTTCCTGCAATTAATTCGTCATTTAATTCTGTTGCTCTCAACTACACTTTTTTAGTGTCAATATGAGTCATATGTGTTGTGTTCAATGCGAAAAGATTTGTTTTGCTTGGCGCTTTGTAGCTCAATTCAAGTCGTTTGCAGATTAGCTGTTCAACCGCGCCTTGTAAAGCCAGACTTTGCTTCTTTTGCTATTGACAAGCTGCAGCGCAAAGTCGCTTTGTTTGGTTTTGGTTTCTAATGTCAAACGTTGTTGTTTTAGTAAAAAACACTGTATTTTTTTAATTGATTTGGGTAATAGTGTTTCCATAAAACAAGTCACGCTACTACAATACTTTTTATTGCTTCGTCATAATTTGTAAACATGTACATCATGTTTGATTTTGTTTTTCTATTGCAATTTCGGCATTAGCCCGCTTTTCTTTGTTTATTTGGTTTGCTTGTTTACCTATTGAGTGGCGAATTCGCTGAAATGCAGCTTATTTAAATACATGCTTTGTTGTATGTTTCCAATTACTCATTGACACATTTCTCATTTCACCGACAGTTTGGCTTCTCTTTTACATTATCGTATTGCCAGAGTTATAAAATTTCATTATACCCTGAGCAGGGTATATTAAGTTTGCCACCAAGTTTGTAGCAAAGATAACGTCGGATACGCTATGACATGTGTATATAAAGTTACAGCGTGACGCGCTGAGTTCATTTAGCCCTGATTGTCTGTTTGTATGTACGCGAATTAGCCGCAGAGTTTTTGAGATATCGATCTGATCATATACGTCCTTTTCTCCACAAAAAACAGCTCATTTATTGGTACTGCCAATATCGGATCACTATATCATATAGCTGTCAAACAAACTAAACGATTAAAATTAAATTCTTATATAAAAAACTTTTTTATTTGGCAAGAAATCTTCACGAAATTTGACAAGGGTTATTGTCCAAAATAACGCAACAATATCTGAAGAAATTTTCTAGGTCGGACTACATCGTATAGCCGTCATACAAACTGAATGATCAATGTATGGCAACTTCTTTATTTGTGAAGTGTATTCTAACTTCGGTGTAACCGAAATTAACGTTTTCTCTTGTTTCGCTTTGAGTCAGTATTTTTTGGATAAAAAATTGGTTAAATTTTTTTTCTTTAACTTTATACCTTATCACTTATCACATCAACAACATACTCGTACATGCAAAAATCGGCAACAACTTGGTCGTTACACTCACGCGACTTTGTTTTTACTCTTAAAATATTGTAGTGGGCGTGAGAATTATGTATTTGGCGACGAGACTTACCGGCGCTTCAAATTATAAATAATAAATTTCTAATATAAACACAAGCTGTTTGGGCGGTCAGCGCGTGTCTAACTGGTTATGCAAATTTGTAGCAGCGTGCACTATAAAAATTAACCGATTGCAACCAGTTTTTTGTTATAATATTAGTTATATGTATATTGTAGTTGCACGTGCTGACGACCGAAAGAGCATAGTAAACAATATTGTTGTTGTTTTTTCGCTGGCATATTATCACAATTGACTTTAAAATTTGTTTTCGAGTTGCGCTTTACATTTTTTGTTTTACATTTGCTTGACTGGCCCTTTCGGCTAGCACATGGTTTCTTATTTTGTCGGAAAGTTAACCTGGCAGTTGTAAGCGTGCTTCGACTAACCAATTGTCCAAACGGTAGTTTAGTGAATTGTTCTTATTTTTTAGTGCTAATATAAGTACTAGTTAATTGCTCGTTTAGTTTTCCGTGTAAATAATCCCAATGAAAGTGCTCGAGTGTTCTAAATTAAAAAAAGTATGAAAGTAATGCAAAAGTTAGTCTTTCGCAGAAAAGTGAAATACACAATTCAGGTTAGTAATTTTTAATTTGATTTTAATTATAAATTGTTTGTACTTGTGCTTAAAGAGTTGCATTAAAATACTGCTGTGATAAGTATAAAGAAAATAGCCAGTGTTATCAGCGCGCTATGTATGTCAATGTCGTAAGAAAATTAATTGTATTTTTATTTTCTTAAAAAATGTAATAAACTGCGAGTGCAATGATAAGCTTAGCATTTTCAACATACATATGTATGTATGTACGGTTAGATATGAACAAGGAAAATTAATTATCATCGTATATATAAAAATGAACTTTAAAATAATTGTTTTTACATTGTCTTAATCAGAATATTTATTATTATTTTTGTCTTCAGTGTTATTGCTTTGGTGCTAGACCCGGGTTGATAGTTTTTGCAAACAAAACCAAGAAAAGACGTTAACTGTGGCTACAACGAACCTATAAACTCTTCGCAGAAAAATTTCTTGTGGCCTAAAAGGGTATAAAACGATCTTTATCTGGGTTTTGACCGGTCAGTTTCTATGGCAGCTATGTGCTATTGTAGTCCGATCTAAATTTTCAATTTCCTCGGAGATTGTAACGCTGTCTCTTATAATAATCTATGTCAAATTTCGTGAAAATATCTTGTCAAATAAAAAAGTTTTCCATACAAGAACTTGATTTTGATCGTTCAGTTTGTTTGGCAGCGATATGAAATAGTTGTCTGATATCGGTGGTTCCAACAAATAAGTTGCTTTATTTTGAGAAAAAAGCGCGTGCCGAATTTCAGATCGTTATCTCAAAAACTAAGTGACTAGTTCGCGTATATACAGACAGACGGGCATGGCCAATACGACCTAACTGTCCGACATGTACATGCGGTTGCCACAAATTTCGTGGCAAACATTATAAAATATTATGTTCAGAGTATGAAAACATATTTTAAACAATAATTTCTATATCAATATCAGCTATCAGTTAGTCAGAACTTGTCTGCTTTGTTTCAACTTAACATGCGCCTAAAAATATGCAACCATATATTATATTTTGAAGCTCAGAATGCTAACGCATTTGCATGTGTTTATATTCAGCAAAGAGAATTTCTGTAATAAAAATTTTTAAGAGAAAGCCGATAAGTTTGTTTATAGCTAGAATTCGCACAATTCATTTTCAAAAATTTTAATAGCGCTGCTATCAAGTGAGTAATTTGTACACTTATAGTAGAAAGTATTTACTGAGAAGCTTGCAATGATGAATTAAGTCATATCTATGTATATTTGATGTTTCATATGCTTTGCGTGTATGCCTCTGTATGAGTCATATTTATTCCGTTAATGAAATACAATGCGCTTAGTAACTGTAGGTACTTAAAGTGATGGCATAATTATTTTTATTTCTTATAATTTTAATGTTGCATTTCCGTTAAAATTTGAGGTTTTTCGTTGCGTATCCATAATACAAAAATCTACGAAAAATATTTATTTCTGTTTCCAAGTTTTTTAGTAACGTATATATGTATATCTGTATGATATTGCACACCTCTTTGCATATTCCCACGATTCCATTCACTTAACACACCTTTCCATATAGCCCACTTACATTGTACACTCTTTTAGAGAAGATAAGATTAGATGACATTGATGATGACATTCGAATTTGCGCCTAAACACTTTGAAAGTAACTTGAACAGGGTATATTAATTTGCCACAAAGTTTGTAACACCCAGAAAGAAACGTCGGAGAAAGTATAAATGTATTATAAATGATCAGCGGGCTAGCTGAGTCGATTTAGCCATATCCGTCTGTAAGTAAGCGCACTAGTCCCTCAGTTTTTTCCACGAAGCTGCTCATTTTGTGGAAACGCCGATTTCGGATCACTATAGCATACAGCTGTCACTCAAACTGATCGATCAAAATCAAGTTCTTGTGTGAAAAACTTTTGATTTAACGATTATCTTCATGAAATTTGTCAGATATTATTGTCCAAGGCAGCACTACAATATCCACTCAACTTATACAGATCGGACCACTATAGCATACAGCTGTCATATAAATTGACCGGTCCAAATCAAGTTCATGTACGACAAACTTTCTTATTTGACAATATATCTATTTAAAATTTGGCACAGATTATTGTCCAAAGCAGCGCTACAATCTTCGAACATATTGTTCACATCGGAGCACTATAGCATATGGCTGCCATACAAACTTAACGAGCAAAATCCAGTTCTTGTATTGAAACTATGTTTTGTTTAGGGTATCATAGCTTTGATACAACCGAATTTAACGTTTTGTCTTGACATATTTGTGTTATAACGTTTTTTATTATATTTATTTTCATACAACTTAATATTCTGGTAAATATGTGTTGAGTACTTAAACGCTTTTGTAATTTTCCTAAGACTAATAATCGCAAATAACCAAAGTATATTTCACTTTTTTTAACCTCTAATCAGAAGATCTTGCCACCAATATGCACTCTCTTCTTATTTAGTCTATTATCATGTTACGCTCTTGATAATCTTCTCTTACTCTCAGTATATTCAGCGTTTCGTTCTCGCAAAAATAATGATAAAATTTCATCAAAATAAACATTGTATTGTTTGACGCTTTGGTATAAATGTGCCAAATATTTGCGTATCTTACAAATTTATAACCGCACTTTCGCTGTACAAACTAAGCGCCGTTGATTATGAGAGCATTTGACATGTTTATGTCACAAACTTTTGACAACCATAATGTGAGATAATTTTCCATTGATAAGATAAATAAGGTGCTAAATACTAAAAGCAAACATATGAGCGCGTGTATCTTCGACAAAAATAGAAAACAAAAAGTGACTGATCCATCTCAGCGTTGCCGCAATAGCAACAGTTGCCAAGTGTATGTATATTGTGGTGCGCCACAAAAGAAAAACAATAACCTCAAGTCAAGTCAAGTCAACAAGCGCATACAAAATAAGCAACATCGTGCACCGGCGAGAAATCAGCTATTCAGCCGTTACTTACAACAAACTTCCGGCAGCCAACGAGAGCGTTTGAGCATATCAAAACAAAGACAGCAATCGATATACCGTAGAGTAGATGTCTCTTTAGTTTTGGTCATTTGCTGACTGCGAGAGCGCGCTCACCAACTGAGGGCTGCTTGGCAGACTGGCTGGTTGTTTGGGTTGTCGGTTTGTTTGACAGTAGTTGCAGCCGCGAGACCTGCTGAACGTTTCAGCTGTTATTTTTGACTTTACGATTTCAGTCTGAGTTCGAGAATCTAAACAAAATGTTGGCGTGACGGTTGATGTACGCGCGCGTAAGCAACAAAACGTTGATAAAATTTGCAAACTTCATAAAAAAGAAAAATAAACAAATAAGTGCAATCGATAAATGTATGCAGTTAGTTAGTGCGTACTTAATAAATTTTTGTAAAAAAAAATTTTATTAAAAAAAAAATTTTATTAAAAAAAAAATTTTACTGAAAATTTTTTTCTTGAAAATTAGCTGCAAATTGTTTGCAAGCTTTCATTTGCATTAAAAAGCAGCTGAAGTTTTGTGTAAAAGTGTAAAGTGTATAGAAAGTGCAAAAATTCTTTGGTCAAAGCAGTAAGCATTGCAGATATAGTGAATATATAGTGTGACAGCAACCAAAACAACAAAAATTATATTGAAAAGCATTACATTGATGCCTCAAGTGCCCTTCGATTTCTTTGTTGTCGCGAATTTTGTACACTTGCACTTACATACATACATACATACATACATACATACATACATACAAATATGTGCATAGTATTTGCTATCGTTTGTTTTTGGCTGACTATATTTGTAACCAACGACCGACCGACCGAAGGAGGAATGCACGCGCAAGTCTGCTGCTAAGTTTTGTTTTGACGGCTCACAAACTATCTGTAAAACAACGAGCAAATCATCACTTAATAAATATACATATGTATAATATGGTTGTGTGTGTGCTACTTGTATTCTTATTAAGTGATTTAACGTGTGTAATGAAGTGCACACTACGTATTATCTTATCATTTGCGCTGGTTATGAGCTTAGTGTATTTAAAAAAAAAATTAAAAAAAAAAAAATTTTTTTTAAATAAAAATTGCAATTTTGAACTTTTTCTTATAACATGAGATTTTGGCTTAAGCAGAAACGTTGCTTGCGCTATATTATCTTTATTCCATTATACTATATACATACATATTTACATATACATATGTGTATATTTGTGAAATTCAGCCAAATTCTTAATTTGATTATTTTGCTTTATCAACAAAGGGCAACAACACTTTTAGCGATTTAACCGGTTACCCAAGCAACTATATAGCATGTAAATACATATGGACTTACATATATGTATGTATGCATTGTGACGAGTTAGCACACTCTACTCGTCAGCAAAAAAAAAAAGAAAAATAATAAGAAAAGATTTTTCGCATGCCTCGCATACAAAATCAATTGTGTTGTTCTCTTGCTATTTTTACGCATTTTTGCATATTTTTCGTCGGTGCAGCCCAGCAGCGCTGGTAGCCGTTGCTATTTGGCCATTATATACATATACACGTATAGAAGGAAAATACCTGCTATATATGTACGTATGTATTTTTGTGTGTGTGCGTTTTTTTTTGTTTTTATTTATTTTTTTTTTTTATAAATAATATCAACGTTGGTTTTAGCAAACGCAACGTGCTTATTTGTTGCTGGCTGACCCATAGTGAAATTTCGTTTGTCGCCAGCCACAATTTGGATAGTCTGTGCCTTTTTGCGTTGGTATCTTCTTCAAAAGCGCACATGTGTTACACTTATAAAACTTTGCCTGGGCATTATATTGAAATGTTAGGCTTATAAGTGTATACAAATGTATGGCAATTGATAGCAAATTAGCTACGGCGCTATGTATGAAAATATATCTATGGTACTAAGTCAAAGTGTGGTTTATATAGAAATAAAACAAGAAAAATCGTTAAGTTCAGCTGTACCGAAGCTATAATTTGCATGAGAAATAAAAAAGTTGCCATATAAAAACTTGATATTTTTCTGTCAGTTTCTATGAACGCTATATGCTATAGTGGTCCGATCTGAACAATTTCTTTAGACATTGTACCGTTGGCTTAAACAGTAATCCATACTAAATTTCGTGAATATACCTCGTCAAATAAAAATGTTTTTCATATACGAATTTTATTTGAACGGTCGGTTTGTATGGCCGCTATATGTTATAGTGGTCCGATCTGAACAATTTCTTCGTATATTGTACCGTTGCCTTAGACAGTAATCCAAGCCGAATTTCGTAAAGATACCCCGTAAAATAAAAAAGTTTTATATAAAAAAATTCGATTTTGATCGCTCAGTTTGTATGGCAGTCATATGCTATAGGGATCCGATCTGAACAATTTCTTCGAAGATTGTATCGTTGGCTTAAACAATAATCCATACTAAATTTCGTGAACATACCTCGTCAAATAAAAAAGTTTTTCATATACGAATTTTATTTGAACGGTCGGTTTGTTTGGCAGCTATATGCTATAGTGGTCCAATTTGATCAACATGTTCGAAGATAGTAGCATTGTCTTGGTTAATACACTATGTCAAATTTGGTGAAAAGATATTCTCAAATAAAAACAGTTTCTATACAAGAACTCGGTTCTAATCGGTTGTTGGTTTGTGCCAAAATTCATTGCCTACTACATAAACTTAGTTGAGTCAATTTGTAGTCTTTTTCGATTATTTATATTTTTTCAACGATATCAAAAAATGTTTGACGTCAGTTATGGCATGCAGTTACGCACGTATACTATTTTCTTCCAATGTTAATTTCTGTCTGTAGGTGACTCATTTCTTTAGTTTACTTTGCAGTAATTCGGACAGAATTTGGTTTTATAAAATTAGCAAACAAAATAATAATTTATTTTGGCCTTGAAAACTTCAAAAGCATTTCAAATATTTCTACATAAGCTTCAACTGTCATATAAAAAAATAGTAAATTTCGTTCAAAAAAAGTTTTTGTTTTTTTTAATATATTTTGTTTCAGTATAATTTTTTTTAAATATTATATATATATTTTTTTAAATCTATATATTTTTTTCAATATACCTATATATATTTTTTTATTTTTAATATGTATATATATATTTTTTTATTTTTAATATGTATATATATATTTTTTATTTTTAATATGTATATGTATATTTTTTTATTTTTAATATGTATATATATATATTTTTATTTTTAATATGTATATATATATATTTTTATTTTTAATATGTATATATATATTCTTTAATATTTTTTATAATTTATTTTTTTCAATATTTTTTTTTTTAATATTTAAAAAAATAAAAAAAATATTTTAATTATTATATTTGCAGGTTTTTTTTGTTTTTCTCTCTTTTTTATATAATTTTAATAATATTATTGGTATTTTTTCGACATATCTATATAAGTGTAAATAAAATATTATTTTCTTATATCTATGTGCGATTTATTGTAAATTATTTCCAACAAAATTAAAGTTATTTCGGAAAAATTATGTCACAATTATTAGTATATTTATTGTTTTCTATTCTTATCAGTTTCCTTGAGTCAATCATTCAATGGTATCTGTGTTTATAGCGTACTTTTCCAGTAAAATTGTGACAATTTGTTAATCTCTAATGAATATATATAGTTTTGTTTGTGCTGTGTCTGCGTGTAGAATTAATTAAATTTTTATCGAAATCTTAAAAATTGAAAGTAAATATATTATGGCGAAATCATTTATCAGAATATCTTAAAAAGTCGACGGGTCGACCTGTTGCTTCGATTAAGTTAAATAAGACCTGTTGGGTTACTCTCTCATATAGTTTTCAAAGAAACTAATACTTTTTTATTTATTCAAATTTAAAATGACGAGTTGCCTGACTTTCATTTTATAAGTTTTGAGGTTTTTGCTTGCTTTAAGAGCAGTTGGTTGGTTCTCTCAAAAGAGATACTTCTAGTTACATGACGTCAATTATAATAAATATGTATGTCTCTATGATGCGCCGTTTAATTCTCTTGTTCACTTTATTACTCACTAACCGTTACTATGCAAGCTGCAGTCCTTTACACCCAACAGATTATAGGAAAAACCCAGTTCCGATAAGCTTGTTTACCATTTTACGAACATTTTATATTACACTATGCTGTAATAAATTTTTATCTAGTTCGAATGTTTTGTATGTATGTAGATCACACTATAATTATGTATTACGAAACTATAACACCATCTAATGATAACTTTCTCAGCTTAAGAATTCGATATTTTTAAATTTCCTGTAAATTCTGATAGTATTTTCAATATACATATCAGTTCGCTTCGGTTACATCGAACCGATTTTCGTAAGAAAAAATGTTTTCCTAGTAATCTTAAATAAAGTAAGTAAACTTAATTTTTTTTTTAGTTCTCTGTAAATTCTTCTGAAAATCATTTATAGATCTACTTGGTACTTAAGTGTTCTTACTTTTTATTATTCTTAACCTCTAGTTATTGAAGATGAGTTTTATCGCTCTTTTGCGCACCATGCCATATATTTATACCCTGCACAGAGTATATTAAGCTTGCCACGTTGCTTGTAACACCCAGAATGAAACAACGGAGATCCTATAAAGTATATAAATATATAAATGATCAGCGTGACGAGTGGTGTCGATTAAGCCATGTCCACCTGTCTGCATATACGCCAACTGGTCCATCAGATTTCGAGATATCGATCTGGAATTTCGTGCACGTCGTTTTATTCCCAAGAAGCTGCTGATTTGTCGGAACCGTCGTTATCGGACGACTATAGCATATAGCTGCCATATAAACTGGCCGATCAAAATCTAGTTCTGGTATGGAAAACTTGTTTTTTAGCCGATATATCTTCACGAAATTCGGCATAAATTATTGTCCAAGGCAACGGTACAATCTCCATAGAAATTATTCAGATCCTGTCACTATCACCATCCAAATTAAGTTCTTGTATGTAAACTTTTTTATTTGTAAAGGGAATTAAAGCTTCGTTGCTACCGAAGTCAATGTGTTTTTTTGTTATTTCATTCTATGCTTTAATTCGATTACTTCAACAATTTACTACCACTGCAACAACAATAACAAACACATTGTTTTCTATATTTGTAAACCAGTTACTAACAGTCGAATACATAGCTACTGCGGGTAGTCAGCCAAAGTTAAGTGATAGTTTCCTTGCTTGCGGTAAATTTAGTTGTGACCGCATTGGCGGACCGCTGCTGGCTTTGTTCATCGGATGTTTTAGAAATACAAAATGCATACTTGCTGCTGGCTTTGTTCCACCAATGATTTATACATATGTACATATATGCAACATACATGCTTAGAAGCGTAGATTTTTGGCTTTTGGTCTGCAGTTGTGAGCCAAAGTACACACATATACATATATCTATCTAACTAGAATTGCAACATGTATACCATATATGTATGCATGAATATTTGTGTGTGTCTGTGCATGAATGACGACAATTGTCGCAAACTGCTGCGCCAATCACATTGTTGATTTCCATGTAAATTTTCACTATGCAACTTTGCTTTTTGCCTTTTTTTATCATCTATCTATCTT